GCCTCTGTATCAAATTGCCAAGGCCTCCCTAACAAAATATGGCAAGCATCCATATCTACAATATCACAATATGCTTCATCATGGTACTTACCAATCGAAAAAGGTACCTTGCAGCCTTCTTCCACTCGTATGCCGCCTCCTTCCTTGATCCACCCAATTGTGTATGGGTGGGGATGTTTTTCAGGAATCAGCTGTAATTATTGGACGACATCCCTGCAAATAATATTTTTCTGACTGTCACTATCAATAATTAAATTAAATAATTTTCCCTTGACAGTACATCTAGTACGAAATAATCTGTGCCTTTGAGAAGTATCCTTATTTTTCTGGAACAACATTAATTTTCTGACCACACAAGTATTCTCCTCATGTTCATATGGACCGTCTTCATCCTCCCCATCAGGGCCACAGTATACCTCCTCCTCAATATCTTCTTCCTCCTCCCTTTCTACCATATTAACTGCCTTCCTCCCAGGACGGTCACTGGACCTATGTCCAACCTCATTACATTTAAAACATTTAATAGGAGCAGGCCTTGCATAAGGGTTACTGGGTTTAGGAGGGTTGGAAGGATTACCTCGAGTATGTCCTCCTGTAGTAGCCTTACCGGCGTTACTTGTGCTTGCCGGGTGAGAGGGTTGCATTGCCGAAACTGATTTGTTCATGTCGATAGTTGCCAGTCTGTTGTCGCTCCCGCTGTACCGGCGGTAATTATCACTACGTGCCTTGTCTTGGAACATTAATTCTGCTTTCAAGGTGAGGTTCTTTGCTTCCTGCACACTAAGAACCATTTGTACACCAATTTTGTCCCTGATGGACGGTCTTAACCCGCTTAGATAACGGGCTGCCTGCTGGTTATAACTTTCAGACAACTGGTTTCTTTCTGCTAATCTTAAAAATTCTGATGTGTACTCATTAACACTACGTGAACCCCTGCGTACAGCTCTGGTAAGATTCAAACATATATTGTTCATAGTCAGGGGGTAAAAATCTACCTCTGATTAATTGTTTCATGCGCCTCCAGGTTCGAACAGGACCCCTTCCTTCTCTAATCCGGGTCTCTCTCAGGTGTTCCCACCAAACAGATGTGCCTCCCTTTAATCAGAAATCTACCTGGTTTACCCTTCGTTCCTCTGGTATCTCCATGTACTCAAAGAATCTATCGACTTCTGTGATTCAATCTAGAAGTCCCTCTATGCCAAGATCTCYACTAAAAGTAGGAATATCTACCTTGAGTTTAAATTCATCATTATTCCTACGGGGATTGAAATTACCTTGATTGTGCCAATTTCTGTCGTTTCTATCGTTGCCGGGAAGAACTGAAGCACCCAAGAACTGGACGTCGGGACTCAGTAGCGACGGGTGGTCTGTCGTGGTCGTCTCCTTCGATCTGCTGTGGATTTTCCCGGTTCCCTGGGACAACCTCCCATAACAAGGTTCGYAGTTGCTCAGTCACCTCTGCCAACTACTGTTCGATGTTACGTGTGGTCGTGCGCTGTTCTTCAATCACTCTCCAAATAGCTAGGAACCCCTGATCTCCGTCACGGGGTGGGTTGTGACTGCTACCGTCTTGGTTGGCCATCTGACTAGGCGAACTCCCTGCTCTGATACCACCTGACGCAGTGTGGAAGCAATGGAAACCAGAGCTGGCTATGCAAGCACTGGGCGATCGCTAGCTTCTAGCGAAGAACACCGAATTCTCTAGGGGAGAGAAAAGGTGGCAAAAACTCAAAGAAGAGAACTTGAAGAAATTCTGAAAATATGAAGTATGAATTGATGAATAAGTCTGGGAAAATAGCAGTATTTATAATACATTTAGAAATTGTAAAAGAACTAGGAAAGAACATGAATCTTGATCTTGATCTTGATCCTCTTGGGCTGTCTTGATAAGGTCGAATCCTCTTGGMATTCTTGGGCTTGATCTTCCACCGTCCGATCTCCCTGGCTCTCCTTCTGCATGAATCTGTGAGTCTTGGATTTCTTGATGCTTCTTGGAGTCTTTGTTGGATCTTGATTGGAGTCTTGAATTCCTTCTAATCTTGGAAGTCTTGCCTTATCATTCTTGGACCTTATCTTGACTTACCCTTATCCTAGGAGCTGCTGCCCCTAGGGTGCGATGGGCCTTGTGATGAGCCTCCATCACAAACTCGTACCACAACCCCATCAACAAGACTTCAAGAAATTAAAAGACCAACTGGCTTGAAACCCAGTGATAACTCATGACCAGTGATAACTCATGTAAAGACAGTGCGATGGAGTCTTGAATTCCTGCTAATCTTGGAAGTCTTGCCTTATCATTCTTGGACCTTATCTTGACTTACCCGTAAAGACAGCAAGTTGTCATRTTCTAGATATAACCCAGTGATAACTCATGACCACACCAAGGGAGATTAAAAGACCAACTGGCTTGAAACCTAAGAGGCTCTCTATGGGCCCAAGGGCATCCATTAAAGTCTTGCACAACCTCTCAACAAGGGAGATTATTCGAACTTAAAATGTAAAAAGCAGCAGCTCAACTAGATGRTGAGCTCTAGACTTCCTAGGGAGGATAACATAACTTCTACTCAAAATTAGACTTGGTATGCCCCAATGCTGCTACCAAGAAATTAGACTAAGACAACCAGGAATGAAACTTAGTTCGGACTGGTCTGCAAGAGCAG